GTCATTCTGAGCTATGGAAGCCCAGAGTTGATTGGTGATAAATAAATAAATAAATCCAGATGTGACAGATTTTGTGAAGTTAATAAGGTGTGACAGCTTTCCCCCTAGCCCCTCTCTTTACAGACCTAGATGTGGAAGCATTGCAGCCTCCAAGCCGTGGCCAAAGGTGGATGTGGTTTGGTGGAGTTCCAGCAGAGTGTCCAGGCGCTGCTCCTGAGCCGCCCTCTCCACGGCTGTGCTCAGGCACACAGGGATGGACGGCACCATAGCCCCCAGCGTCTGGATCAGCAGAACCATCACCACTTCGTATGGATTCTTAAACACCTAGAGCCGTTTGACAGCACAGGTTAGAAACTAATCATGACTCAGGACTGATTGGTCTGGGTACTACAGCAAGTCTTACCTGGCTGCTCCACTGAACCTGTGCATGCCAAGTGGAAAGCAGAGTGTCGTAGAATTCAGACAGCTGCTGATTCAGACTGAGCTCGCTCTGAGAGAGATCCTGCCATATGCTCACTAACTGGCCCTGTAGACACAAAGCCACACATTATCCCACATGGTGTGATTTTTGGAAGCTAACCAGGATGGGGAACATACCTTATGACACTTATAGTAGTACGCCAGCAGCTGGGGCATTCTATCGATCTCTGTGAAGACTTTGACAAACAGCTTAGCCTGGTCTGAAGAAAGAGAAGATGTTATGTGTTGTTCACATTCAGGCAGGGGGGGTGGAATAATATCGATAAGTGTTTTTTTTCTTGGTTTGTTACCTAGAGACATGGAGTTAAAGGTTGCTACTATCTGTGGACTGGCCATGGCCTCCAGTCTGTTTTTCAGAGCCTCCAGGTGGACACACTTCTCAGAATAGTCTGGAGTGTCCACCAGCATAGCCAGGCTGTTCTGCATGCTGGTAAGCTTAGAAGAAATAACTCCCAGGTCCTGAAAATAAGGTGTTAATTGTATTAAAAATGAAATAAAGTGCTACTAGGATTAAATTCACCATTCTCCGTTGTTAATTCAATTCACTCAGGTGCAGCATTTTATTTTTCATTTTGAACCACAAAAGCAAATAAGCAATATGTCAAATATCATAAAATACACAGATTATATATATATTTAACACTATTAACAAACTACAAAGTTTTTTTTTTTTTACCTGAGTTTTAAAGGTCTCCTCTATGTCTGTGCTCAGGGTGCTCCATTTGTCTGCCTCCTGCAGGGCCTCAGCAGCCAGCTGCATTCGAGTCTTCACCTGATCTATTTCTACCAGGACCTATAGGGAGGAAAGATTCCTTTTTGTTTGGCTTTATTTTGGTTTAAAACAAAAAGCTCCTAACATTTAATGCATGAACATATCCTTAAAAAAGGAGCCCTCACACACCTGCATGGATTGGACAGTTTCTTGTTCAAACTTTTTTATATCCTCCTTCACCAGGACCATTTGCTCTTTTAGAAACGACGCCTCCTGCTTCAAGGCTTCGACGTCTCGTAGCACTCTGGGCATATTTTGGAGGGCCTGATTACTGGACTCTGTAGACAGATAGAAAAAATTAAACTCTTGGCTTTTCAGTCATTAACTATTAAAAGACCTTTTATTGTTACGATATTCATCATCCTGAGGTAAACCAACTTATTTCTGTGTATATTGTACTATGGTATTTATCTTACATATGTATAATTATATAATAAGCTATAATAACCTCCGTATATATATATATATACGCACACACATACACTACTCAAAAAATTTAAAGGAGCACTTTGTAATCAGAGTATAGCATCACATTAATTAAACTTTTGGGATATTGATTTGGTCTGGTAAGTAGCAGAGGGGGTTGTTAATCAGTTTCAGCTGCTTTGGTGTTAATGTTGTCAGGCATGCATACACGCACCTGGGGGCCGTACAAATTACTGAATACCATTTCGCAATGAAATTTCAGCAAAATGGACTAGACTGCCGCATCATTTTTCTACTGGAATTTTTGGGGTGTGTTTGAATTCAGCCCTCTGTAGGTTGATAATATTTATTTCCATAAAATGATGTGGCATCCTTTTGTTCCTAACAAATCACCCAGTCTATATCAGTATAAATAAACAGCATGATTTCCCCCCCCAGTTGAGATCTGATGTTTTCAAAGTGTTCCTTTAATTTTTTTGAGCAGTGTATAGACACACACACACACACACACACAACTACACACACACACAGCTTTGTTTTCATAACATATGGGGACATTTCATTGACTTGCAATCATTTTATGTCACCTTAGTCCTAAACCTAAACCCAACTCAAAGAACAGAACTTTACCATATAGGGACCAGTTGAATGTCCCTATATGTACCTCTAAGTCCTCGCATGTAGGATATTTTACAAAATACTTCCCTCATATTGTAGGTAAAACAAGATCACACACACACACGTTCTGCAATCGCAGTGAGGACCATGATTAGATTAGATTAGATTAGATGAGCTTTATTGATCTCACAGCAGAGAAATTCACTGGTCACATATTGGCATAGTACTTCAAGAAGGTGCAAACAAGGAGGAAAAGGTGCATTAGGAATAAAAATAAGTTAAAATAAAATTAAAATAAATAAAAAAAATTTAAATATTAAATAAAAAAAATCATGTGTTGACTCCCATGGATTTTCAGACATGTTCAACGCTTTCTATGCCCTAACCCTAAAACTATCCATTACCAACGCATACCTCATCCTAACCCTGACCAATTGATACCTTAGCCCTAAACCTAACCATGAGCAAAATAGAATGTGAGAAATCCACAAAATTTCCTCACTTTGCAACATCTGGTCTTCAATCTGATGGTGAAATTGGAAAATTAGTTCTCACTCTGAGAGCTAGACAGGTGTACACACACACACAGACAGACCCAGACATTTGCATATATAAACGTCTATCCATCTATCTATCCATTCAACACAAATTTACTGAAGTGTTAAATGGGAAGCAGTAATTCTGGGTGTTGGGTTCAGCATGGAAAATTCCTGCTACTGACCCTCGATGGCATTGTTGACCTCCTGGATGAAGAGCTGCAGCTTCATGACCAGTGTTGCTGCATGAGTGTCCGCTTTCCCTGGAGCCTCCTTCTGTACCACCTTGAAGGCGCCGTTCACCCAGTCCTTCACATCAAAGTCATCATCCAGGAACTTGGAGAAATCCATCTCTCTGGGTTCAGAGCGAGGCTAGCTTCTTGCTGCTTAGCCAAACTCTTCTACTCCCTTCTCTGTCATCGAGCCATCGGCTAACCTCTTGGCTAGCTAAGTCTTGCCAAGCAAAGGCTTCGACACGAAAATAAAATAGATTGCCCAGGAAAACGAAAGTACCATTACAACCAGATACAGCTCTAACAATGCGACGGCCTCCTCCAGAGTTATTTTTCAAAGTTTACTGTCTTTATCACTGAAAAGTAAACACATATTCCTAAATGGCTTATGCTTGCAGAGCTGATAACTGACAACAACTTCCTCCTGTGCTTGCTATTTACCTTCCCCGGAAACAGACGATACAGTATTAGGTCCTACTGAAAACCGTCCAACAGAAGGACATTAAAATCACAATCACCCCCATTTTATTTCCATTTTCTCTTGGATCATAAATCAACATCATACTGAGACCATATTAAAAACAAATCCTTCATGTCATCACACAAACACAATTTAGTTATTTTATTAAGACTATTTTATCAGGACTTCCTTCCTTCCTTCCTTCCTTCCTTCCTTCCTTCCTTCCTTCCTTCCTTCCTTCCTTCCTTCCTTCCTTCCTTCCTTCCTTCCTTCCTTCCTTCTTGTAAAAAGAATCCTAGAAGGCCTCTTTGATGTTATTTTATACTATATAAAAAAGGCCAAAAAAGATTAGTTACAATGGCAGTCTGTCAATAAGCATCAAGTATTGTTTGTGTTTTTGTTTGTCTGTGTAAATTAAACATTAATCTTAAGTAAATGACATCATGATTCATGAATGAAGACAAATCCTACTATTAACCTCCCTACACATCTGTTTGTACTAGGGCCGCTCTAAGCCTCCAATGGGCTCTAAACAAATTTTTATTACTTTGGGTCCCACTTTTTTTTCCAATACTATGGATTCCTACAATAAACACTCAGATGAGCAGATCTCTGACACACCTACTGCAAATCTGGTTTGTATGCATTGTACTTTCTTACTAAAAGTTATCCATTTAAGTTGTACAGGGTTTATTTAATGTCAAACTAACCTGAAATGCAAGAAAAACAAATAAATGGCTTTGATATATTATAGTTAGATCATACAGATCATACAGTTAGATTGGTTCAAAGTTTTCTTTGTAATGAAAACCAGGTGATTGCATTAACTCATTGACTCAACAGCAAACCCTAACACCAAGCTTAAAAAATAGATTAAAAATTCTGTATGTAATTATATTTAAAAAAATGTCTCTCTTCAATATCTTTGATATGGAAGATTTTTTGATGATCTGAAAGATTTAAGTGTGACAAAAAAAAATAAACAACCGAAAAAAATAAATACTTTTGCACAGCAAATCATAATTTATTATTCTGTTATTTTCTTTGTACTTCACTCTGTTGGATCCAGGTAGTCGATATACTAAAATCTAACCTGGGACTTTAAGATGGATGCTGCATATGGAACAACTGAGACAGGTTTCCACTGCACATTAGGATACCTTATTTAATTTTTTTTTTTATAGCAAGCAGATAACAGCCTCAAGCATTGATCAGGTAAAGTGCATTGTATTTAAAAAAAAATGAAAATAAAATGTTAGAGCCAAACAAAGGCAAAGACATCAGTCTGATACTACAGCACCTGTATATCAAGCTCCTTTTTGTGATGAGAGTTTCATTCTTATCAGCTGCAGCAGATATGCCTCATTATTCATAGTCGTCACCATGCATGCCATGCAAAGCAAAGCGACTATATGGAGAGTAGAGTTGGAACGGAAAGCCTGCAGGGAACACCTTTTAGACATATCTGTTCTAGTCGTCAGGACAAAGTCTTTGCAGCCGCTCTTTGAAGATGGGGATTATTGAAGATGTTAAGGACACACTGTCAAAGGCAGTGTTTAATCCATCAAGCTTGATGACCGGGCGCGGTGGGCTCCATATGGCTCAGATCATCCTGTGTCTGGTCACCTTTGTCCTGGGAATGTTCAGAGGAGGGAGCACTCATACCTACTGGAACTACGCCATGTTCACCTGGGCCTTCTGCCCCATCATGACTCTCGTCATCACTGTCATTGAGATGTTTGGACTCGATAAGATCCTTGATTTGTTCTGCATGGACTGGGGGGATTTCACCACAGGTATGGCCATGTCTTCCTCCCTCATGACCATCTCTGTTGCCATAACATATGCCAACTTCTATGCCTGCCTGAAATGCCTGTATGGCTGGATTGTGAGTGTGTTTGCCTTCCTGTGCGGCGTTCTCTACATACTTGAGGTGGTAAAGGACAAGTTTATGGATAAGAAAAAAGGAAGCTACCTGGCTGCATTACCTGGGTTCTGGAAAGTTCTGGAGGCCTTTGTGAGCTGCATGATTTTTGTATCACTCACAGGTTACAGAGACAAAACAGCTCTGATACTTTGTGTCATTGCGTACATCATTCCTTTTCCCATCCTCCCTCTGATCATAGCCACCAACATCTTAAAAAAACTCAAGAAATGTTTACCCTTTAACCTGGACAGGTTTGTCTTTATATTCCTTGTGATCTCAGTTGTGCTGTACATATTTACTGCTATCATGTGGCCCATTTTTACATTCAGAAACAATCCACGTCCCAATGATTGTCCCCCTAGCTTTTGTATTTGGGCTATTCAGTTCATGGTTACATTTTTTACCTATGTCAATCTCATCCTTTTTACAGTGGACCTAATTTTTACACTGCTTGGCATCTGTGGCTTTAAGAGAACATAAATGTTCCAAAGGCTTTTGTCTGCTTGCCTTAAATTGTATTACATTTTTTGTTCAAGATACAATATATTTAAACATGTAAACTTCACATTTGATTTTTTTTTTTTAAATGTTCTTCTGTTTATTTTGCTAAATTAAATCTAACCTGAGTAATATACGGATAGGCTCTATTTTTTTTTTTTTTTTTTTTTATTTTCTTTTTAGAATAGTGCAAATCCAGATGGGGAAAATGCAAATCAAGGCAAACTAAAATGTGAATGAAATCCCCAACTCCTTCCTCAAAGGAAAAAAAAAAAAAAGTACAAATAATATAAAAGTCTACAGAACATAAATTCAAAAATCAAAAATAAAGAAAGAAGTGAAAAATAAATAAGTGTGAAGTCTGCTCAAAAGTAATACAAGGCTTTGTAATTAATAGACAATGTGAAATACATGTACTTTGTATTTAATATTAATTACACACATCCAAATACTCAAGGGTTACAGTTTCGACAAGTATAATATAAAAGGCTGCCACGTTTTATAAAAGCAGGTTGCTATGTTCAACTCTCTCTAGATGCAATAAATTAGTCATTTCCATCAGCAATGTCTTAAAGGTTGGGACATTTTCATTTTTATCCAAAGCTAAGATGTTCATATTTGCAATGACCATGCTATATTGTATTGTTTTTGCTGATGGGGGGTTAGAGTAGTGCTGTATTGGAACTCGTCCAGTATATCATTGTATTTATACTGCCTGTTGTATTATCTTTAATAGCATCTTTCTTTAACTCTTTGTACTCTATATAAGCTACTGGAACCAGAATTTCCCTGAAGGAGGAATCCCAAGGGATAAATAAAGTTGAGTCTAAGTCTTAAACTGTCATTGTATGATTCTAGTGATAGCACAGCCATAGCAAGGCATATGAAAATATTTGACCAACATTTGTTTAATTTGGGGCAGGACCAGAAGAGATGAGTTCCCTCTGCTGCTTTACATTTGGACAAATTGGGAAGACAGAGGGATTGAAGGAGTGTAGATTACTGCTTGAACAGTGAAGCCTATGGATCAATTTTAACTGGATAAGTTAGCTGTTGATGGCAGGAATGAAGGTATTCCAGACATCATCACTGATACCAAGATCTTTCTCCCAGGCCTCCTTTGTCCAACGACAGCCTAACTTATGAATAACATATGGCAGCTTAATCCCCACAAAATGTCACAAGCCAGTGTCCCACTACACATTCGGACACTCATATAAAATTGCATAACCACTGTATAGTGCTCTATATAGGGGTTCGGAGACAGCCAAAAGGAAAAATGTCAGGCTTGGTTAGGGACAGATTCTCAGGTCAAACAATATGACTTTTGATGATTTTGATCATTTCATGTGTTTACCTATGAGTAAAGACAAAGCTAAAAAAAAATGGACGGCCGATTACAAGTCTGAGCTGTTGTTTATAAAGCTAAACAAGCTTCATTTCATTAAGATTTTAAACACTAATGTGTTCTAATGTTTTATATACCGGTATATATATATATATATATATATATATTTATATATATATATATATATATATATATTTATATATATATATATATATATATATATATATATATATATATATATATATATATATATATATATATATATATATATATATATATATATATATATATATATATATATATATATATATATATATATATCAATTAACTAAAGCTTATTGGTTCCTGATTAAGCAAATAATTTAATAAAATCTTATTTGGCTAAATAATGTTTTATCACCTCTTAGAGTTTATTTGGGAATTGATTTGAACACATTCAAATTACTCTAAATTAGTTCAAACCTGATTTGATCACATCCCTACTTCTTCAAAATATACTTTGGTTCTAAAACACTATCATCCTATCATCTCATTGACTATGGTTTTTAATCATGTTTTTCTTTCCTCTTTGTACATAGTAGCTTAATTGAGATGAGTTTCACTACTTTTTAGTCAAGAGTGTTTAACTGAAATATGTTTTACTTGGAGCTGAACGATTTTTGTTAATAAACTCTTATATTTTGAACTGAAGTGGAGAATTTATTCCATGTACAGGCAGAATTATCTGTTCGACCATGAACTGAGCTTGTTTCATACTTTTATTTGTCGTTTTAAAAGACAGCCAGTAGGGCGTGTTCATAAACAATATATGACAGTCTGAATAATATCTGATTAAATAAGATACTTACTGGGGTGAACAATAAATATATTAAAGTTGCACAACAAGTGCTTGTAAGACAAAATTGAAACAACTTTTTAAATCCACTTTAAATCCTCTAAAAGCATTCCCACTTCATCCTTTGGCAACATTATTTTCTCTATCCTCCCTTTTTAGTTATAAAAAAGCTTTTCTCCGCTGCGTTCCTTCCCTGTAGCTCACAGCCACATTTAGTCCCTGAGTGGATTTTGCAAAGCAAATTTTTCAACTTTATTTGCAGGCGAGGAGGCGATCAAATGTTACCAACTTCACCAAACTTGTGCCATTCGCCTCCTTAAATTTGCCACCGCTGATCTTGATTGCTTGATCAGCTTCTCTCTCCTTTGCTTCACTCCAGATCCGCGAGCTTGCTTTGCTGGTGCTGGTGGTAGCATCTATGAAAAGCTCAGCTTGGTTACCAGCACCGTCCTCTTCCTCAACAAGTGAAGTTGTTGTATCGATTTCTTCAGCAAGATAATCTGGGTTCAGTTTTCCCTCTAGCTTTAGGGTTGCCCATGGTTGTATTTTAGAGAAGCAAGTGTCATGATTACTGGCACTAGAGCTGGTTTGATCATCATTCAACACACCTACATCAGATTCACCTGATCCTAAACCAGCTCTTGGACTAGTCACTAGTGCCAGATTATTACGAGCCATCTGTGAGTTTAGTCTGGCATTCCTGTTGCCTTTCTTTCTGCCTGCCTGATTTTGACCTGATTCCGCCTCCTGATTCTTTGAGTCTGTCATATACCCTTTTCCCAAAGGCTGAAAAACCTGTTTGAACCTGGTAACATTCAGTCCGGGGGTGCCCAACCTGTTTGGGCCAGGAATTTTCAGCGGCGTTTATTCTGTGCACAGCTCGAGGAGGAAGGTGCAGACCACGCTGCTGCACACCGACGTCAGGTGGCTGATTCGTGGCAGATTCTTCAAAAGATTTTTGGAACTTTTGCCTGAAATTAAAGAGTTTCTGAAACAGTCAGCAACCTATTCTGCTGTATGTTACATCTTCACATCCACATAGTTTGTACTTAGTATTTTCCTATTTTTATCTGTTTTCCTGTTGAATTTTAATCTATCTGCCAGTATCTCTGCCAATGCCAATGCCCAGTGAAGTTTATCATTCTGAAATAGTGGACTTCTCTTCTCCTTCTTCCTACTGTGACGTGATCTGGAAGTGACAGATTTTATTTCTCATTTTGTTTACACAAGTTTAAAACAAAAAGAAATGTAGTTTGGAACAGCTCTCTGGACAATTTCATCTTTTTTTAAAAGAATAGCCTTGAAAAGTACTAAATATATATATATATATATATATATATATATATATATATATATATATATATATATATATATATATATATATATATATATATATATATATATATATATATATATATATATATATATATACACTATATTGCCAAAAGTATTTGCTCACCTGCCTTGACTCACATATGAGCTTAAGTGACATCCCGTTCCTAATCCATAGGGTTCAATATGACATCGGTCCACCCTTTGCAGCTAGAACAGCTTCAACTCTTCTGGGAAGGCTGTCCACAAGGTTTAGGAGTGTGTTTATGGGAATTTTTGACCATTCTTCCAGAAGCGCATTTGTGAGGTTGCACACTGATGTTGGACGAGAAGGCCTGGCTCTCAGTCTCCGCTCTAATTCATCCCAAAGGTGTTCTATCGGGTTGAGGTCAGGACTCTGTGCAGGCCAGTCAAGTTCATCCACACCAGACTCTGTCATCCATGTCTTTATGGACCTTGCTTTGTGCACTGGTGCACAGTCATGTTGGAAGAGGAAGGGGCCAGCTCCAAACTGTTCCCACAAAGTTGGGAGCATGGAATTGTCCAAAATGTCTTGGTATGCTGAAGCATTCAGAGTTCCTTTCACTGGAACTAAGGGGCCAAGCCCAGCTCCTGAAAAACAACCCCACACCATAATCCCCCCTCCACCAAACTTTACACTTGGCACAATGCAGTCAGACAAGTACCGTTCTCCTGGCAACCGCCAAACCCAGACCCGTCCATCAGATTGCCAGATGGAGAAGCGCGATTCGTCACTCCAGAGAACGCGTCTCCACTGCTCTAGAGTCCAGTGGCGGCGTGCTTTACACCACCGCATCCGACGCTTTGCATTGCACTTGGTGATGTATGGCTTGGA